TATTTGCTTCAATGTTGTGTGGGTACAATTTTCCAATTGCTGCTACAATTAACACCGGAAGAATCTGAGGTTAATTTGTGGTAGGCTTGACTGGAAGATTTTTATGTATTTGTCATGCCCTACTTTCTTTGATAGTTAATAAATTTCAATAAAAATATTTAAAAAACCCCTTTGAATGCTACAGTAATGCACAGCCTTTGCCAATTTTATCACAAAGAACATTATTAATCTACTTTTTGGCCTTGCTTGCTTATACGGTGTAAATTAAACAATGTAAAAATGTTTTAATATTAAGTGATTTATATTTTAAGACTTAGAAAAATGTGTACCTAGTCTGCTCTGACTGTCCTTAGGCTGAACGCCCTTGGACATACTACTGGCTTCTGGCACAGAAGAACTTGGCGTGCTCTCCTAACCAGATGATAGCCTATAATCTTTCCTGCCACTTCTTATTCAGTGATTACAGCTCACCTGGGGAGAGCGGTGACTAGTGTTTGCCCCCTGTATGGCAGTCTCTCAGGCCAGGCTCACCCATCCAGATGTCTTTTGGATCTGGACCACCCACACTGCAGTCTCCCAGAGCCTGGCTTGGCTTCTGGGCTTACCTACTCATGGCTCTGCAACTGACCAGTATTTCTACTGGCAGAGCTCCTGTCTCTATGTTACTTTCTCCCTCTGTGCCTGGCTTCTGTAGCTGGGCCTCTTATATATACTCCCTGGGGGAGGCATAACCTTCAACCTGGGCTGGCATCCTTAAACATACAGGGTCCTCTTTATACATAATAGGGGTAGGGGTTCCCTATTACATGTTTTCTTTTTACCTTAGCCCTGCTCCCATTTGAAGTTAGTTAGAGAAAACACTTGTCTGAAGCTAGAATTAGATCTCTACTACTTGCTTCATCTGCTCTAACTCATTAACAAGCCATGATGCCTTATTCTTCTCCCAGCTTGGTACTAGGAAGTCAAAGGCGTACTGGCTCTCCAGGTATAATTTTAATCAGTACACACAGCAATATAGGCAATATTAAACCATTCTCTTATTTTGCACTGACTAATGAAAAGAAAGAGTCCATATTCATTGTAGACTTACAAACAAAATAGTATTCATAGACAGGCTAATATTTTTTCTCGGCTTCCCATATTATCTGTTGACTAACACCAAGAATAACTAGCATTCATGTATGCACATGCCAGCGCGAACACATAACCCAGCTCTCTGCCTCTTTAAAAGGTACCCCCATCCGTTCTGAAACTATTATGTTTCACAGCAATTGAAAAGCTGAAACTGAAATATGTTTCAATTATAACTGGTATATTTGAAACTCCGGTGGGTGGCAACCATTTTGCTAAGCTAATGCCCTAACATAATTCAGATGCAATGTAAAAAAAAAAAATGTTATTCAACCTACTGTAATACTGCCATAACAGGCAAACTTTATTTATATAAACATTAAATAGTTAATTTAAATATTAAACGTTGACATTTATTTGATCATACTGCAGATTGTAAACTAGTTCACTGGTTTCAACCTGAGATCCAGTGCTGTTGGTGTAACAGAAAATGGCACTTTTCATCTGAGTGACCCTACCCAACAGTAAGTACACAATTAGTAATACGAGTACAATGTGTGCACCAAACTTGGTAACTTTTTGCAACTGAGCACTGGGGTTGAAAACATGACAGCAAACTTTTGCCTTTTTATATCCATTTCATGTTTTGTAAGAGGTGAAAAATGTGTATTTATTATGTACATTTTTGTAATACTGCTCTAAATTGAATGAGTGTCACTTTCCTCTTGGGTGAATAGTTAAGGTTATTCATAGTAATGAGCAAAGAGAAGGGAAAGGAAAAAGAAATTAGGACAAAAATTGGATAGGAACTTATTTGATTATATCATTGCAGACACAGAGCAGTTTTTCAATAGCCCAAAGATATGCTAGATGATGAACTAAGAGATGCTATATGCTTTTTTACCTCTTTTGAACTGCTGCTGTTAAATGACCTCTTATGAATAAAGACTGCTTAAAATTTCACTGAAATGTATGTGAACCTCTCACAGTTCCAGAAGACAGGAAGAGCTTAATGTTGTGCCAATATTTAAAAAGGGTAACTGGAATGACCCAGGTAATTGAAGACTTGTCAGTCTGACATTGATTCTGGGCAAAATAATGAAAGAGCTGACATAGGACTTGATTAAGAAAGAATTAAAGGAGGGGAACATAATTAATGCCAATCAACTTGGATTTACAGAAAATAGATCCTGTCAAGCTAATTTGATACCTTTTCTTCTGAGATTACAAGTTTAGTTGATAAAGGTAACAGTGTTGATGTAAAAGACTCCTGTAAGGCATTTGGCTAAGTACTGCATGACATTCTCATTAAGAAACTAGGACAATAATAAATTAACATAGTAGTCATCTAATGGATTAAAACCTGGCTAACTGACAGTTTTCAGCATATAATTGTAAATAGGAATTTCTCACTGAATATGTGCTATTCTAGTGGAGTCTTGCAGGGCCTAGTTCTGAGGTCTACACTAACTGACATTTTTATCAAATGTCAATGACCTGGAAGAAAACATAAAATCATTACTGATTAAGTTTGCAGATGACACAGCAGAAGGAAAGTACTAAATAATGATGACAACAGGTCACTAATACAATGCAATTGAGATCGCTTGATAAACTCGGTAATACCAAACTCTATGTATTTTGATAAGGCAAGTGTAAAGTTTGACTGCTGGGACAAAGAATATAAGAGTGGGGGAACTGATATTTGTTGAAACCAATACTAACATATTTAATACAATTATTTTGCTAAATCTATTACTTTTTAAACTCATTTCAACATTTTCAGTAGATTGAGGGGTTATACTTCAGATTGGCTTTCAGTTTCTATTAAAACTCTTAATTAAGAGAGATGATTAAATATCAAGAAAAGCAATTGTCAAAGATATCTAATTTAAAGCAAGTAGACATGTTAGAATCATAGGTGGCAGAAGGCCGGGGTTAATGGGGCTTAGACCTCCAAACGCAGGTAGCCTGGATGCAGGCTCTGGGTGGCTGCAGGGGCGCGCAGACAGATAGAGACAAGCAGCCGGATTCTGCAGGCGGCTGGGAACTCAGCTTGGCCTGGCTGTGCATGGAGCAGCTCCCTACAGGTAAATGTGTGGACAGGAAGGGGCGTGGTGGAGGGAAGGGGCGTGGTGGGGGGGCAGATTGAGGCCCCACAAGGGTGGGGTGTGTGAATGAGGCCCTGGGGTAGGTTGTGGGATGCTCGGAGCCCAGGCAGCTCATCCAGGGGTGCAGGGGGCTCCTGCCACTGCATGCACCCCCAGGGCAGGCACAGGGGACATGCGTTCCCTGCATCTGTGTGCGGGGTGCAGGCAGCTGCCACTTTGGACTGGGCTTTATACCCTGCTGCTGGTGCCCCCAGAATGGTGTGATGCCATGTGCCTCCCACTGCTGGGTAGGTGGTGCAGCCAGCAGGCAGGAAATGTGGCATTGCACTGCTCCCAAAGCAGCAGCAGTGGGGTGCAGAGCCCAGTCCACAGCAGCAGCTGCCTCTGCTCCACACACAGATCCAGAGAGAACATGTTCCCTATGCCTGCCCCGGGGGTGCACCTAGCAGTGGGAGTCCCCCTGCACCCCTGGATGAACTGCCTGGGCTCCAAATGTCCCATGACCTGCCATGGCCTGGAGCCCCATTCACCCCAGCCCCTGCCCCACTCGTGGGGGCCTCAACTTGCTCTGTCATGCCTCTTCCCCATGACAGACTTACTTGCTAGGGGAGGGTCGGGGGGCATGTGTGTGTGCACTCAGCCCCACCTAAATCATATTTTTTCCCTCTGCCTATGGTTAGAATAGAAACCCCATCACATTTTTTAAATAAATAAGGAAAAAAAGTTAAACTTTCTTATAGACAGAATATTGGGCATTTATACACATGCTCTGGGAGTGGGGGGGTCTAATTAAAGTGCCTGGAATGTCATATGTATCACTATCCCTGTGCTGAAAAATGGTGGCAGGGACACTTTAACTAAAGCTCATCAAACGAGTTTTAGTTAAAGCAAACCTGCCGCCACGTTTCAGCACACGGATGCTGATACACGTGACACTGGAGTTTGCTGGAGTGCGGTAATTACCACACTCCAGCAGACTCGATTATAGTGCATCAGAGCCACCTCCCTGCACGTGTATAGGCACATTGTGTCTATGAAATCTGAAAAATTGGGTAAGTTTACACAGTACAAGACATATCTCCACCAAGATTTCCTAGCTCAGGGGTAGCCACCTTGCAGCATAGTTGCCATAAGGGGTGTGGGCAGCCTGTGTGACACAGCAGATTGGGGAAGGGACAGGCAGCTCAGAAACAGATACAGCAGGGAGGAGAAAACAGCACATTAGATCAAGCAGGAAGCACAGAACAGGATGCAAAAAGCAGAGCAGCGGCTTGGTCAGGAAGCACAGCACAGGAAAGCTGAATAGTTGATTGGGTAAGGGAAAGGGATTTGAGTGGCACTCAGGGAGGATGCAGGGCTAATGTTTGGCATGCCTGCCCAAAAGGTTAGCTCCCAACTGTTTTAGCTAATACTAAATTAGCTAGCTCTGGCATTAAAAGTAGAATAACTGTTAGCTTACTGTTCTGCCCACAATTGTTAGCTCTGCAAACGAGGCAGGGAACTATGATAATGTAGCTAAACAGCCTCTAGTACCAAATCTCAACTTGAAGTATCTTTGGATGGCACTGCATTATAGTTTACAGACATATCATTGCGTTCCTCTTCTGCCTATAAGTCCTGTTTTTAACCCATTTTTTATGTCAGTTCTTAAAATAAACACTTTGGGGCAGGTAGCGGCTTTCATTTTCTCTCTAAATACTGCCACACCGTGGTATCCTGATGTTCACAGCCGCTTCTGTGTGCTATTGTTATAATAACAGCACTACATACCAGCACATTCTCTAGTTCGCTTGCATATCATGCATCTATAATCTGTTCTGAAATTTTACTTTACTTTAATTTACTTTTTATTCAACTGTCAAAACTAGGAGAGGGGAATGGCTGTTTCATTAATTTTGCTACACTAGGATGACAGCTACTGTAAGTTTCTTCTTTTGCTCGTAGGTCACATCACTGGTGGGCCCTGACATTAATGCCAACAACCATATGTATTCCCCCCATTTTCATGTCTCAGTTTATAAGATTATAATATAGAAAAACATTGACATATATAACTTGAAGACTGAATGTCCTATGTTTCAATGCTATCTGAACAGTCGGTGTTTGCCCTTTAATACTGTTAGAACAGTGGCTTCATACATTTTCCCATAATGAATGCTAAATATAGAGTGAAATGAACTTATTTCCAGGTAAAGTGAACTTACTACTGAAGATAAGAACACAGAAATCTCACACTTTACACACCAGATCAAATCACCACCAGTACTGGCCCATACCAGTTGCTTCAGAAGGTAACAAACCCCTCAAATGTTAACAACTTTTAGTGACTACTGACTTGGATTAAATTCAAAGTGGTGATCTAGTGACAGAAGTCTAAATTTGCCTAAATTAACCAGAAATAAATCTGCTCTCCACAATAATCATTAGCTTTGTTTGGTCTAGACATTTACTCAAATTCTGCATTTAGAAATGCCGGTCCCTAGGTTCTGGTTGGTCAGTAACTTATTCCAGTTCATGACAGTGTTAGTGACTGGTAGTCGTCTTCGTACAGTTTTTCCCCATGTTTCTTCTGACAAGGCTTGTAAGTTTTCTATCAAGGCAACCTGAAAATTGTTATCTTCAGCTTCTATGAGTTTCACAAAATCCATGGCCAACTGTGCTTGGTCTATAACATGCAAGACTTCTTCAGTTGTCTTACTCACTGTCATGTGAAGATTAGCATAATTAAAGTAGTGTATTTGCAAATGATAGATTCCTGTGACCTGTGTAATAACTGGAGATAGGGCAAAAGTCCATTCCGATTTCCAAATGGTATTCCAGAAACCCAGGGCTTTGTACTCGTGACCTACAATGCAAACCACAAATATCTGCCTATTCTTCAAAGTTTTTCTAAACACACTGCAGTCCCCTGAAGGAAAGTAACTGCTCACATATGCCTTTAAAGCACTATTGAGGGCTCTTCTCCATAACTCTGTCTCATCTAGCAGAACACCATGAAGCTGAAATTTGCTTGCTGTTTCACTCAGGTGATCAAATTTGAAAGAAAATTTGTTTTGAGGGTCAAAGAAGCGATTTCCTCCCAAGTCATTATAGCGAGTTACCAGTATATTTCTTCCTTCTATTCTAACTGAGGTGAAGTTGTTCTTATTGTGATGGGCACAGACCTGGGCAACCTCCTGCCTCATCAGCTCATCATCCTGGACCAGAGTACGGAGATCTTCAAATACATTACTAAATTCACCTGGTGGTGCCTGATATAGTAGGTTGCAAATGGTTGACACTTTCTCTTTCTTATGTAAATCACATTCTTTGGACATTGTTTTACTTCTGTAGTACTGGAGCTGAAATAAGAGCATGAACTTTTCTGAAAAAACTTGATTGAAATTGTAATTAACAGCAATCTACACCTTTAATGATGTTGCAGCTAAAATTAGTTTGCCAACTCTAAGACTGTGAGCAAATTCCAATCCTGTCTTGAGAGATCTAGGGCAGCATTTCTCAACCAGGATGCCACAGCACCTGCAGGTGCCTTGAGATCCTTTCAAGGATGATGAGATGCCACACAATGTTAGCTCTGCTGGGTTTGTTAGGACTCTGCTGGGACTCACACGATAAACATAGAGATTTCAAATAGAGAGCCATAACTGTGGTCCTTTTGAGTTCTTTGCAACAGAAAAGATGGCTCTATCATTTTTCTGTAGTCAGAAAACTGAAGACTAAGAGCTGGCATGTTCCAAGGAGTGCCTCCAGTTTATCAGAGGTGACTTGAGCCTAAAAAGATTGAGAACCACTGATCTAGACACACAAATAAGTTCACACTAAAAAAAAAGAGACTACGTAGCACCAGGACACTGGGGGAAATGGTCATAGCAGAGAGCCACAGTATTTGACAGCAGCAAAAATGAAAAGCTTCCTCTACCAAGACATAGATGCAAGTGGGAAACATCTACTTAGCTCTGCCACAGCTTAGGATACAAAATAGAAAGCCTTCCCAGGAACCTTTTCATCGGGCTAGCTTTAAGAAACCCCAAGAGGTCCCAGTGAATGAAAGAGCCTGGAGGGGAGGGGAAAGGTGGGACTAAACATCCTGACACTGTGGTGCTGAGGAAAGACCAGAAACTCTGGACCAGGCAATACTTTTTCTAAAAAGGGCTCCTAAAAGGTCCAAGGGAGCAGACGGCAGAGCAGGGAGAGGGGTGGCAGCGGTGCACAGGGCACACCACACACCGTCGGGGCAGGCGCAGCCAGGATGGCTACAAACGACCCCAGCAAAGGCAGCGGGTCAAGAAGGTTAAGGGGGTGGGGGGCAGGAGGAGTGAGGACCTGGGGGCACCCACCAGTCTGGGGCAGCCACAAGGGCACTGGTGAGAGCTGCCCCCCTGGGGCGGGCCCTCCGCCAGCCTCGCTTTCGCGGAGGGGGCGGGGCGGACCCCGAGACGGGAGGGGGCCCGTTGTGACGCCACTGAGGCAGCGCTGCCCCGGCTGGGTACCCCCCTCCGGCCTCGGCAGCAGACCCGGGCGGGCCTGGGGCGACGTGGGGGAAGGAAGGTGGGCGGAGGTGATGCAGCACCGGCAGCTGCCAAGACCACCGCAGTGAACGGACGCGCCCAGCACCAGGGAATGCGCAGCTGCTATGGAGGCCAAATCCCCTGCTCGTCACCCGTCCCCCTTGTCCCACCCCGCCATTGGCCGCTCGCCCCCACGTGGTGCTGGCCCCGCTCCCTGCCCCACGCGCTCGGTGGCACCGCTGTTCGCCCGCCCCGGTGCGCATGCGCGATGGCCGCCACGCTCCCTCTCCCTTCCCTGTCCCTCCGGCTCCTCATGCTCTGGTGCGCATGGGCGGGGAGGGGAGGGGTGTGCGTGTGCGTGGAGGCGGCGCGCATGCGCAGTTGGAGTCCTTAACGCGGCTGCAAGTGGTTTCTGTCGGTGATCGAGGACGAGTTCCGGCACGGCAAGATCGACCTGAACAAGACGCTGAAGTTGCTGGGCCGGATGCAGCTCGGCTTTGACTACATCCACGTCAAGTACGTCTTCAAGGTAAGGCGGTTTGGAGGTCTGGTGGCCGCAAGGGCTCATCGGCACAATAGCACCCGCCCCAGCCAGGGTGGGTGCGAGAGTCGTGCGCCCCGAGCAGGTGGGGCAGCGCCTGCTAGCCTGTGGGCGAGTCCGAGGAGCTGGTGGAGGCTGCCTGGTGAATCCTTGTGAGGGCAAAGCAGCGTGGCACTGTAGAGACTAACTGGCACAAAAGCAGCATAAGCTTTCTTAAGCGACCGCCAACCTTGTTGCCCGGCAATGTGAATGGACGAGGGCAGGAAAGTGGCCCTGCAGTCCCTGGGGGTCCTTCTGGCCAGAGCCTCATTCCTGGTCAGCTAGCTTGCTTGCTGGGCTCCAGATCAGCATCCAGCCTGCAGATGGACCAGGCGCTTCCCATCTAGCTGGCCTGCCAAAAATATTTGAGCACCACTGCTATGAGGGTTGAGGACCGCTGCTTTGAAGCCTGAGGCTGATTTTCAAATGCTAGACCCCAGCCTGCCCCTTAGCTCCCTCTTCTCAAGTCTGACAATGACGGGGGTTGCCCCTGTAATACAGAAATGAGAAGGGCAGTTAGCTGGAAGTCAGGCACAGTATACCTTATAAACTAACTCTGGGGTAGAGATGTATAAACTTTCATGAGCCTGAGCTCCCTTCCTCAGATGTGGCTTCCTCATCTGGTGAAGGGAACTTGGGCTCACAAAAGCTTATGCATCTCTGATTTAGTTCGTCTGTAAGGTCTGTCTCTGCTCCACCTTCTAATATCCAAATGATCTGACCGGCTGAGAGTATCATGCAACATTTTTTTTGCTTCTTCAGAGAGACTGATTATTTTTTACCTGATTTTTAGCTGAAAATGTTCCTTAGCATAAAAAGTGTGTAGTATCATTGTGCAAATTGGAAGAACATTTTATCTTACCAAAAATGTCCCTTCTGTCTGATCAAGCTAATTTTTCGCCATTGTCAGTAGCTACATAATGATAGTGACAGGGTTGTCTACTATGACTAAACAGCTACCTGAAAGATGGCTATAGAGCTCTTTTATGAACAGTTTCCTCTTTTTATTCCTTTGCTTTTCTTTCTTTTTTCTTTCAATTTCTTGTTCTGTAATATCACTGTGGGCATACTAGAAATAGGGAGATTAATGTTTGTTAAAGAATAGCACTGTTTCATAAGCTTCTTCATTTCCACAGGAAATTCTTTTGTCAAGCTTACTACGCTTTCTGAATAGCAAAGCTAAAGCTGCATTAATAAAAATAAAGATATGATAAGAAACTCCATGTACAAATCTATAATACTCTTTCTATATACGTGTATGGAGTCCATTGTTGTAGTTTCCAACCATTCTTGTAAGTAGAGAGGTAGTTAGCCTAAAGGCAGGCAGAAGGCAAAGCAGCGTGGCACCTTTATAGACTAACTGGCACAAGCGAAGCATAAACTTTCTTAAGTGACTGCCTACATCATTGAATGCCATGAAACTATGAAGACGTGTCCGTGTCATGGCAGAGAAACTGCCCAAGGAACACTTTGGCCACTGACGTGAAAAAAACCAACAGGACAGCACTTTACTTGCAGAGGAAGTGTCAGTTTGGCCCAGCTTCTGTTTAGATCATGTGTTTCAGTGAGGTTTTTTGGTGCTTTTATCTAACAGCTGATTGAATCAGCTTTTACACAAAAGCGCTAAAAAGCCTGGCTGAAGCTGTGATCTGTATAGATGTTGGGTGAGCTGGGTCAAACTGATGCGATGCCTTTTTTGGGCATGTGCTGCACTCTGCAAGGGTGCACCAAGCTGAAAGTAACTAGTTTTGTTTGGTTTGTTTTTTTTTCCCCACTTCTGTAAGCAGCCTTTATTTCTTTCACAAGGTGATACCGATCTAGGAAAAGAAGCCACCTTACCTGAATCCCAGTGACTGTCTTAATTACCAGATAATTCTTCAACATATTTTTTCTTTTTATATTAATATGTGTGAGACCTTTTAGAAAGGGGTTGGGGCTAGATTTTGAAGATGTTGGTTTCTCAACCAGTGCTAAACATTTTAGTATTAAGATTTTATATCAATTTTTCTTCATTAGTAATTCCCCTTAAACAGTCCTAGTCAAAACATTTTTAATTAGATATCAGTCTGGAAAGGAATTAGGATTACAGAATCTTAATCTGCAGAGTTTAGCTGCATTGATTTAGGTTACCACAGTTTATAGTTCTACATTATTTTATAGATTCATAGATTTATTTTAGTAGGTTTGAGATTTCTTAGGAAGGAACTGGTAATACTTCTAATTTCCATGATATTATTTTGAATCCAGCCCATATTGGTAGTATGGAAAAATCTTTGCAAAATGCTAGTTTCATACTATCTTGTCAGAGCTCAAAGCTTCAGGGCAGTTTTGTGCAAACCACTGACCTCCATTACTAAAGTATCCCATGTGAGGGTGTCTACCCTCCCTCAGTCTCATTAGAAACAAAGGCCTGAATAGTACTGAATTTCTCAGATACAGTGTAGTCTTTAATATAGTTTAGGGGCATGTTGGGAGCAGTGTTTGTTTTAGAAATATGTTCTCTTCCCAATTAAGAACTGTGCCCTCAAATCTATTCAAAATGTAATTGATGTTAATTGATAAGAATATATTTACCTTTTCCATTGTCATAATTTTATTTTGTGCTTCAGATTCACTAAACTACAATGAGACTGCATTCATGCTTTCTAACCTAATGCAGAAACATATATGCATCTAATTTAATTACATATATACTAATTGTCATGTGGTATGATTTAAATGTTCTTACATAAAATAAGACATTTTGACAGCCAAAAATTTGCTACTTGAGCTGCTTAGAATTGAGTTGCATCAGGGTAGTGCAG